TGATTCAAAATGGCCAAAACCAGTCCATTTCAGCTCACTAATTCCGAGGATATCAATCTTTATGTGTTCCATTTCATTTTTGACAACTTCTAATTTTCCTAGATTCATACTTCGTACATTCCATGTTCTGATGATTAATGGATGTCTGCAGCTGTTTCTCTTCAATTTGAGTGATGCCACCTCAGCAAATGGAGGTCTCGAAAGCTTTACCTTATCCATAGGAGTAAGGCTGAGTTTACTCAGATGATGCCGCTCTTTCCCAGTGCTATTTTGAGAGCCTTCTAACCTAACCGCACTATTTATAAAATTGCGCAGTAATGTATCAAACACTGTTCCTTTGTTATTCATAAGGTTTCCCCTGGCCAATTCTTTGAGAAGTGAATGGCCTCTTCCTTCTTCCTAGTCTGTCTCAGTCTGTAAGCTGGGCTGATACCTGTGCACCATGTGCACCCCTGCTGAGTTTGAAACACCAGTGGCTCAGCCTCAAAACTCACATCAACACATCACCACGGTAGGACAAACTGACAGACAGGTTTGTCTCCCTGTTGGAAACCTCCAATAAGTTCCTATTTTTAACATATTATATGATTGGCATATAATAAGTAAATGTTAGAAATACGAACTTACGAAGTAAACACATACTACTAAAACTTTGTCTTTATCTTTTATATATATCAAGGATCTACATAAAGTTCCATTTGATATAAGGGTACTCTATTTTTCAAAAAGTTGGAAAACATTACCTATGGTATTTTGACTTTGATATCCTACCATTCTGAAAATATAAGGGTCTAAAATTCCAAAACTACTATTAGATCTACCTATGATTCTTGCATTTTGGGTGTGCAAATGGTTAATATGCCTGGCTACTAACCAAAAGGTCAGAGGCTTGAAACTACCCAGAGGTACCTCAGAAGAAAGGCCTGGAAATCTATTCCAAAAATATCAGCCACCGAGAACCCCAGGGAGCAGAGTTCTGCTCTCACACACATGGGGTCATGATGAGTTGACATCTACTCAAAGGCAGCTGATTACAAACACAGATACAACAGGGACCAGGTGTTTCATCTGAGCATCCCTGGATTGCTGCTGATGGGCCCTGTGGACCAGGAACCTCTGCACTTGTCTATTTGCTCATGTTGACATGAATAAGGCCTTTGGTTTTGACTTAGAGAGAAGGGAGGAGGTTTGAGTCTGCACAGAAGCCTGAGGGCAAGGAGATAAACATAAAAGGCAAAATTTCTGCTCCCAAGCTGGACATAAGGCAGATTTCAAGCCAGGACATAGAGGGAGGGCTTAGGGACTCACAATAAAGGAAGTATGTTCCCTAGTGGTGTCGTGGTTAAAGCATTCAGCTGCTAATAAAAAGGTTGGCAGTTTGAACCCACTAGCCGCTCTGTGGAAGAATGAGGCAGTGTGTTCCATAAAGATTCGCAGCCTTGGAAAACCTATGGAGCAGTTCTACTCTGTACTACAGGGTTGCTATGAGTTGAAATGGACTCAATGGCAATAGGTACTTTTTTCCATTTAGGGAAGGCTTTGGGATAGAGAGGACTACCAGCTTCAACCAGCCCCTCATGCAACTTCCTCTCCTGAGAACTTGGTGGGAGGAGGGGGTACTGCTGAACCTGGGAAGTAGTGCCTCAGAAGGCACCAGCCATGGTGGCAGAGTGTTGACCCTCCTACAGCCTGATGCCATGAAATGGCCTAAGAAGGACAAGGGTACACAAGCATGCAAATCCTTGTTCCTGAGCACAGTGAGACATCCTGGGGTTCCAGGAATAATGGAGGGAGATATGGGGAGTGCTGCCATGAAGACGGGCAAGATGTGGCTATGAAATCAAGGTGGCCTTTGCCCCATAAACTATGAGAACAGGCTCACCGAAGTTATAGAGCAACCAAACGTGCTAAGATGCTGAGAGCCTACAATTCTAGCCTTAGCCCTGCTGCCAGCCCCACCTCCACTAAGGGCCACCCTCTCCACCAACAAGTCCTCCCTTGACCTTTCTCATAGCCTGCAGAAAAGCCACGGCTGGCCACATGTTTATCCGAGTGGAAGACGACAGACATGACATGCCATGAAGAGGAGAATGGTGGTGGGGGCACCTGGCCGCAGAACCTCCCCAGCAGGTTGCCCTTGTCTCCAGAGGCCCCATTGTAGATCTCCAGGAAGTCGAAGCTGCAGGTGTCATGGTACTCCAGGTCAAAGGCATAGAAGGTGAGCAGCACGGAGGAGCCCTCAGCCACCACGATCAGCCAGCTACACTCTGTGTCATAGGGGTAGAGCCTGGGGAAGTTGGGGCTGGAGAAGTTTCCAGAAGGTGCTGAGAGGACACCACCACATTTGACACCTGGGGCAAGAGGGAAAGATGGTTCAGAGTGGCACTAGGGGCTAGGATAAGTGTGGCAAGGGCAGAGGGCCCAACTGGGTCTTTGAGGTGGGATGAGGGAGGGTAAAGCCATAGCCCTACATAAATTAATGTGTTCATTATTCATTCATTCACTTACTTATTCTTCAAACACTTATGAAGCATTGTTTCATTCACTCAGTAAATATTGTTTGAGTGCTAGGCATTGTGCTGGATGCTGGGGATATAGCAGGAACAAAACAGATAAAAATCCCCGCTCTCATGGAGCTTACAGGCTAGTGGAGAAGACAGAAAGTAAATATGATAAGTAAAATATAGAGTACTTAAGTCATGATAAGTGCTATGAGAAAAAATAAAGCAGTAAAGTGAGATAGGAGGTGCCAGGGATGGGTTTATAATTTTTGACAAAAGACCTACTACATGCCAGGCCCTAGATATATGCAGTAAGAAATTAAAAATTAAACAATCTCCTCCTCAGTGAAAATATGCACAGCTTAGTACAATGTAAAAAGCACATTTTTATATGTACATATTTGCTTGTATTTTAAAAAAGAAACTATGGAAGGATACCAATAAAAATGATTGTCTATTAAAGGAAGGTAAAAACAGAGGGGATGGAAAAGGAATGATTGTGAATCCCTCTAAATATACTTTGTCTTATAATTTTGACTTCATAATGATGTAAAATATTTTACATCATTTAAAAAGATCTTTTTTTTTTTTTTGCAGCAATCATAGGCTAATTTATAGCAACAAATGTACACATCAAAAAAAGAGGAAAGAGCCAAAGTCAGCACCTTAACTCAACATCTCCTACAATTAGAAAAAGAGCAGCTAAAAAAAAAAGCCTACAGTCACTAGAAGAAAAGAAATAATAAAGATTTGAGCAGAAATAAATGAAACAGAAAGTAGATAACAGAAAGGATCAGCAAGACTAGATGGTTAGTAAAATTGACAAACCACTGGCAAATTTAACAAAGGAAAAGAGGGAGAGAATACAAATAGCACAAATAAGAAATGGATTGGGCAATGTCACTACAGAACCAACTGAAATAAAAACGGTAATATCAGGATACTATAAATAACTGTACTCCAACAAATTTGAAAATCTAGAAGAAATGGACAGATTTCTAGAAACATACTACTTACCTAAACTAACACAGAATAAGTTGGAAAATTTGAACAGACCCATAACAAAAGAAGAAATTGAACAAGTCATAAAAAAATTACCAACAAAAAAAAAGTCCTGGCCCAGACAGTTTCACTGGAGAATTCTACCAAACATTCAGAGAAGAACTGACACCAATCCTACTCAAGCTATTCCAGAACCCAGAAAAGAATCGAATCTTCCCAAATTCGTTTTATGAAGCAAGCATAACCTTGATCCAAAACTAGGCAAAGATATCACTTAAAAGGAAAAACTACAGACCAATATCCCTCATGAATATAGATGCAAAAATCTTCAACAAAATCCTAGCCAATAGACTTTAATAATATATCAAAAAGAATAATACATTATGACCAAGTATGGTTCATATCAGGTATGCAAGAATGGTTCAACATTAGAAAATCAATCAACATCATCCATCACTGTTTTGGTTACCTAGTGCCACTCTAGTAAGAATATACCACAAATGGGATGGCCTTAACAAACAGGAATTTATTCTTACAATTTGGAGGCTTTACGTCCAAGTTCAAAGTTCCAGGTTCTAGGGGCTGGGTGAAAGCCCCTCAGCCTTGGGCTTCAGCTCTGCCCCCTGCTCCTGGCCCACTGGAGCTAGAGGTGTTTCTTCACTCATACAGCTGCTGGCTGCTGAGGCTGAGAAGCCCCAAGGTTGACAAGTAAAAAAGGCACAGTCCCAATGTTACCAAACCACACGGCAGGCCATTAACTTAAGTCCATTGTAAGACCCAAGGTCAGCAGAGCATGGCAGCCTGCTGAACAATGACACAGCTACATGCAGGGTTCAAGCATGTCATAAGTTAGAGACCATTCTCAAAGCTGCTTCTTATATATGGGAAGCAAACCACATAACCAAAGCAGCTACTCAGCTGCTTGTGGTAGATCCCACCATGGAGTTGATTGCCAGTCTCATCATGGGGAATACCTACCTCCAGCTGCCCAGCCACTCAACCAGGACCAACCAAGTTGACATACAACTTTAACTACCACAATCACATAAGTAAAACAAGAAAAAGAACCACATGATCATGTCAATCAATGCAGGAAAAGCATGAGATAAAATCTAACACCTATTCCTGATAAAAACTCTCAGCAAAATAGGAAAACAAGGAACATTCCTCAACATAATAAAGGGTATATATACAAAACCAACAGCCAACATTATTCTCAATGGAAAGTGACTGAAACCATTCCCCTTGCAAACAGGAACCAGACAAGAATGCTTTCTATCACTACTTCTATTTAACATTGCATTAGAAGTCCTATCCAGGGCAATAAGGCAAGAAAGGAAAATCAAAGGCATCCAAATTGGTAAGTGTTCTGGTTACCTAGTGCTGCTCTGAAAAGAATATATCACAAATGGGATGGCCTTAACAAACAGGAGTTTATTCTTACAATTTGGAGGCTTTAAGTCCAAGTTCGGGAGCTCTGGTAGCATAGTGGCTAAAGCACTTGACTGCTAACCAGAAGGCTGGCGGTTCAAACCCACCAGCCACTCCTCGGAAGGAAGGTTGGGCAAT